GAACAGGGATTTCTGAGGAGGAGGAGAGTGACTGTAAGGATGTGACAACAAAGAGCTGGAGATAACAATGCTGTGAAGCTCCAGCCAAGAAATAATAGTCAAGTGGCAAGGAGTAAGTCAGCAAATCCAAAACAGGAAATAGAGATGAACACTATAGCCCTAACAGGCAATAAGACCTTGCCAGTAGGCAGCTAGTGAGGCAGAGAGGAAGGACAGGATGGGCAATGGAAGATAAAACATAGAAATACGGTTTAATGAACCATACATGACAGCAGTCAAGGCCAGGCTTACTGCTGGCTTTGCCAGCAGCCATAACGTTGCAGGCAGCCTTGCTGGGACAGTGTAACACCACAAGCTTCATGCTGGGTACATGCCCAGAGGTCAGTGGCCAGGACAACTGCAGCCTGTGCTGTTGTTTGGAGATGTTTGTGCTACTTTCAGCAGTCATGCAGCACAAAGCTCCACCATAAGCACACTGCTGGGGGCCGTGCTGCCCTTACTGCGAGATCAAAGGACAGCTGTGCTGTGTCATCACACGTGTCAACCAAAGTATCATTATCATTACCATGCTAACTCCAACCAGCTCCTGCTGAAGAGCCAGTTCACCATCCAGTGATACTAAAAAGCTGTTTTGCTAGAGAATGCCAGCATCTGGCTAAGGTGGACACCTGTGTGTCACCTGAAGAGGAGTCGCACAGAGGAGGCTCCTAGAGTGCCACAAGCCATGCTTCATTTGCTGGCATGCTCAAATCATTATCAGGGACTTGCCTTCCTGTGTGGCAGACAGGGCTGGATGGAAAAGGACAACAGAGGTACCTCTTGGACATTTTGGTCAAGCTCTTTCATTGGTGGAACAGAGCTGGCATATTTACTCTTATCCTTAAAAATTTCAATAATTTTTTAATGCTTACTCTTTCTGATAATGCTTAGAGATCTAGTTAGGGACATGCTTACATCAAAGTGACAACAAAAACAGAAGGCCTGGCCTGCACAATTTGCAATGTCACTCAGATTGGAGGCAGCAGACGGATCCAGTGGCCAAAAAATGGAGCAGCAGAACAACAGGACATCTAGGATCAACATTGCAGCCTGGGTAGGAGTACTTTTGGTTGATGCCTTAGCTGAGAAAGAGTGAATGGGATGGGTTTGACTCAGCAGGGTACATACACACTGCTCTCCTGAGCGATAATAGAGCGCATACAGACTGGAAGCCAAACCCTGTCAAAGGAACCAGAAGGTCCCCCCAGGTGATAACTCCCCTTTTTTTAAAGATGAAGCAGGATAGTATGGTATGTTTGCCTTAATGTGTTTTAAACACTGTATGTAAAACAAGTTTGAAAACTTTCCCTGTCTGAGCTGACTGCTCATTGATTAGAGGCTTTCATCCCCTGACACCTCTGAGGCCATACCAAAGCACACAGATATGCAGCTCGCGAGGTAAAGAACATCCAACTTAGATCTTAACCTTCTTCATGTGTATGTGGGCTTTATTTTGGATATTTTCTGGATTTCATCTGCTCAAGAAAGTGGCAGTGTGGGCAGCTAAACAGGGGATTGCTCTTCTTTGCTGGTAGAAGTTACAATGCAGCATGTATGCCATCAGCTATGTTTGTGCATCTAAACACACTATGTGTATACACATTTATGTGAAGGATAAGGGGAAATTATGTATCAGTCTGCATAAACCTATTGTGTACCATTGTGTGGAAGGCAGAGCAAACACACTGATCAGTAATTGTATAATTCCTGCTGTACTTGTGCCTGAAGGCAAGTGTGTAAAATGTTTTCTGCTTTTCAGAGCACTGACAACTGCAACAGTTGTGGGCTTCAATGGAGGTACAGCTCATCAGCAAATATTTAACAGACCATTTTTGTTGAATTGCCAGAGGTGGGGTTCAGACTTGGGGTAGGGAGGCTTGGGTACCTGTCACTGCAGTGTGGGCTTGCAGTGGAGATAAAGCACAGAAAAGGACAGGATACTCCAAAGGAGCTACTGCAGAAAGAGGAGCAGGAGGAAGAGCTGAAGTATCATATGAGTGGTCTGACAACAGAAACAGCATCACAGATAAGCTCTGCAGTAACTGCAACATGAGCTGATAGAGCAGATGGTCACCTCAGTTTAGCCTTTAACATAGCTTGTTGCCCCTAGCAATATTTACCCAAAAGTACTCTACTGATGGAGATGGGATTATGTAGCAGACAGAGGGAATCAGTCCTATTTTATACAAGATACTGGGCTGCCTATTGGCTCTGACAGTCTCTTCGTGTGCTGGCTTTGGGCAGACAGAACAATGTCATGATGTGTACAGCCATTTCTGGGACAGCTTCACATGATGGAAATCAGGTAGCACTTCCCCAGTTTCCTAACTTTGTTGGAACGTTATTAATTCACTCCACAAGTCTGGAAACTTGGTTAAGAGGTAAAGTGCTAAACTCCCTTTTCTCTTTCTGAAATGACCTTTTGGGAGCTATCAGGACATTTTCATCAGCTCCTGATCAGTGCTATTTGGGGTTAATTCCGACCCACTTCAGTAATTCTTCAGAAGCAAGAATTATTTCATTAGTTTGTGAAAAGCACTTCAAAGATCCTTCAGTGAAATATGAAAATACTATTATTCTCATTCCCAAAATACTAAGGTAAAGAACAACACTGAAATAGCAATACAGAAATGTTGCAAAGGTGATCAACTACAATGGAAAGCAACATACTTCACTGGAAAGTGTCCCATATTTGAAAGGCCAGACATCTCTAAGCATATGCATATCTCACCTATTTAATAAATGTTGTCTCAACTGCACATTTATGTATTTTTATTAAAGAGAAAATTGCTTGTATTTCCTTCTCTTTCCTCTGCATTATAGCATTAAAGCAGGACTGCATGCCAAACAACAGTATAAACAAAAAACATCACCAGATACTTAAGGGTCTTTAGCTCCTAAATTGACTAAAGCATAAATACAAACTGACGTCAAACATTTGGGATTACCATTTAAAAATTGCTATTTTCTGAGACACTAATGAAGGCCATTCATATCAAAAATTCAGTGCCTACAACAGGAGTGAGCTGCCCAGACTCCAAAGTATGGGGTCAAAGAAGTGGTCTGCATCTCTTAGAATAAAAATCCTGCCAATTTGCTTTAGATCTATAAGAAGTACCAGATACAGAGAATATGAAGAGATTCTTTCAACCTAACTTGTGAAGATTTGGGAGTGTCACCACCAGTCCTTGCTCTGCCACCATTATCAGCAGTGTTTTTATCACCCCCTCACAGTCATCACAGTCGTTGGCAGGTGAAAACCCATCCTGGCTGTGCACTGGGGCTGCACAGCACACCCTGTGCAATGCAAATTGCAGTTGTGTGATGATACTGACCTGCTCCAGAGCTGTAAAAAGTCACCTTCCACATTTGGTCTTCAGGGTCTCAATTAAACAGCTGAAGTTTTAAACAAGTAAGAGTGATGAAGCTTATATAGGATCTCTGTCTTTCTCCCTCTTAAGCATGGAATTAAGAGTACATTTTATAAGTCAAAATGAATTCCTGAGTAGGTGTTGGTACTAGTTCAGGTCCTGATGTGGTACAGCCAAATGGCAGCACACTCCGAGGTGTGCCTATTCTGCTTCTCAGCATGATTAACTCAGCAAGATGGAGCACAGCACTATATGGGGCTTTTAGGACCTATACTGGTTTAATGAACATTAGCTTGCACATCCCAAGGTGAAGTATTTTTCCACAAAGATATAAGTTGGGAATTGCCTAGAGAATAAGAGGACTGGAGATTTTGAATGCTCCTTCTAGTTCAGAGTAAGTTGAAGCAATCATACACTTTGGGGCAAGCAAACATTTGCATTTCCACAAGCAGTGAAAATTTCAGTTGAAAAGCACAACTTTGTATTTGAAGATGTGATGCCTTTGGGCACAAACTAATCAGTTGTATCCACAGCTCCTGCCTAGGACTTCTGTCAAAACAGCACCTTTTCCTTCCCCATCTGCGCTAGTTATCCAGGAGCCAAAAGGAGAGTAGGTACTGGGGGCACCACCTGCTTCTCTAACTTCCCCTCTTGTTCACAAAGCAGTTTGACCAGTGGTCAAACCTTGATAGAGCAAACCCTTGCCATCCTACAAGATGTAAGCTACTCCACAGGGTACAAATCCAGTATGAGGTCTGTGGAAGCCTTGCTTGTGATGATTCTGAAGTCCAGAGCCTTGGATTTCTGAAATCAAACCTCCCATGCCCCAGTGGAGACAGACCTGTGTTAGCATAAAACCTTGAGTGGTGCCAAGGCCCCTGAGCAGCTGCAGAGCTTGCTCCATTGTCTGGGACAGAAAGTGGAAGGAAGGGAATGTCCCTTCCCCAGCACCTGGCTCAGGACACTCCAGGAGGAGTAAGAGAGGACAGCTTCCAAGGGAGGCCATTTGCCAAACAAGGACAATGCTCATCTGTTCTCACCAGCTCTGTGACCCAAAGAAGTCTTTAGGTGCCAGAGCAGCTGTGTAAGGTGACACACATTACTAACAGCTTCTGGTTTGGTAAGGGGCCATATAAGAAGAAAAATTTCCTTCTATAACAGGGGATGGACCACTGAGGGATTTGGTAGCTGCCAGTGTGCAGGAAGGAAGGGGAAGTGAGTATTCTCCCCCTTGGGCGGTTCAGCTTCATTTTGCAGGCAGAAGTGGAGGAAAAGCGCTCAGGTCTGCAAGCCTCCCCTTGAATACAGGACATATTGCATGTATTCAGGGCCTAGGATAGACTAAAATAGAAAAACATTTTGTTTCAGTTCACATCTTGGTTGTGGCTCATGTTTTATTTACAGAAAGGGCAGAAGTTTCCATGAGTGAAGAAATCCCCTTTCTTTCTCTGCAGGTTTTAGAAAGCCAGTCAGCAGCAGAGCAATGCTACTGAACTCAGGACTTCAGTCACCTGCTTCCTAATTCTCAAAGCAGCTAAAGCCCTGCAGTCTTTTTTTACCTTTCATAGTCACAGGACTAGTCAAGCAAAATCTTGATTGGATTATTCTGCTTTAATTACAAAATGCATTCAGACCAAAGGCTCAATAGTACCTGGTACATATGTACACATTTCTCTCAATTATAACACCAAAGAACAAAATGCCATCTGGGCTTGCTGTAGATCAAACATGCCCCTCTGGCAAGAACTTTGGAGTATGAACAGATACCACAGTAATGCTTGAACTGCCTCTCGTGTGACAGACACCAGACTCTGTACTTATTTATCAAATACTTTGAGATCCTTTAGGGTGGATTGTACATGAGATAAGCGAGAGAACAGATGCAAAACTGGAACCCTGGGCAGTCCACATCCCACCACCCCCTGGGAAAGAAAGGCAGAGATCAGGGTCATTTTCTCTTTGCTGCAGTTAGGGCAAGGTAGATAAATCACAAGTTTTTTTTATTGCTGGTGAACTCAAAACAGGCAACTTTAATCTACTGAGGAAGATACACATACAAACAAATGTTAGGCCTTGTGCGTTTTTTTTCTTCATGTAAATGTCTCTTCAGCTTCAGTCCAGCTCCCGAGCTCTCACTGAGCTGCCACTGAGATCCTGGTAACGTGCTCTGGGCAGTTCTGCAAGATGTTATAAGAAGCATCACATGTATTAAAAAGGGAGATTTTGCAGAAAAGACAAAGCTCTGACAGCAGCCACGTTGCTCAGAAAGGAGAAATCTGGCTAATCCTGCTGCAGTAGGTATGTGGTATTATATATAATTATATTATTTAAGAATTTGCCAGGTCCTTTTCTGTTTCTGGTGTGCAAGCTGCAAGTAAAGTGCACTTCTGGGTAAAAATTACCACTCTATGAAGATGCAGTAGCTGGGTGGTACACATCAGACACCAGTGGAAAGCAGACTACAACAGCTGTTTCAGTGACACAGGCAATAAGAATAATGCCCTAGGATACTAGATGCTGCTGGGAAACCCTTCCATATTTTGAGCAGTTAAATATTACATCGTTCAGCAAAACACAAATAAAGTGTCATTTATATGGGACCTTCTTAAGTACAGACAATAACAGACACAACTGCTACTGCACACCAGGTTAGCTCTGTGGACAGCCAGTCCTCCACACCACACTGCTAGCTCCTTTTTAACCTTTCCAAAGAGTTATGTAACAGCTAAGGAGAAAGCAGGGATCCTAAGGATCTTTCTATAAAGCTGAGGGTTTTACATGATGTGGGGGCGGTGTAGGAGGCAGCACAACACCACATTTAAGCTATGCTGTGAGAGGACAACCCAGCTTTAGACACTGCATTTGATGACCGTGACATAACCAGGGCCAAAATGGTGAGATCCCAACTCTCATCTGCACCTTGCAGTTCTTGTTCTGCTCCAGTAGAGCTGTTACATTATCCTACACACAAAGCTCTTTTTTTCCTCCATGTACAGTTTCAGGTGACTATTTTGCTTGGGTCTATACTCCTGAGACCAACAAGGCTGATAAACTACATACTGTTTCTCTGACTTTGTAGCACTGGCATCACAGCATCAAAAGAACTATCTGTTCAGTGTTTGTTCTCTTTTAATATAATGAAATAATAAAAGGGAACTCTAAATACCCACCTAAGTATTCTCAGTGATTCAGGATACATTGCATACCCAGGGCAGATTTGATTAATTCCTTGCCACCACTGTTTTCATGTGTCCATTGCCAGCAATGGATGCCTTGTGAAAAGGGGAAGGAATAAAATAATTGCTCTCTGTGTAATACAAAAAAGGATTAACACTGCCCTGTAAGAGCAGAACCAAGAAACAATTCTACTCACAGGGCCAGCAGTGTTTTTCTCTCAGGAATGGCTGTGCCAGGGCAAGGAGCAAGTTCATAACTGAGGACCCCCTACCAGAGACAAGGGACATACACAGAAATGGCCCAACTGTTTCCAAAATAAGAGTGGAATCCTACAACAGATCTGCATTCCAAGCCAAATTATCCCTGGTACAGCTCTGCTGACTGTGGTGGAAGAACAGAAAAATTAATCTGGCCTTATGGGACAACTCTGGCAAACCTTCCCCATATCAGTTCAGGAGTGAGAAATCTGACAGCTGGAATCTCCATGTTTCTTGCTAACTTTGTTAACTTCAAAGGCCAAAACTTGACGGAGTGAATTACAAACTTGTGGCTGCCGCTATCAAACACCTTCCCTGCACCACAACTGTCCTTGTTCTCCATAAGTGTTACCAATTTCAAACTGTCCCTGGTGCAGGTAGGTCTACAGTGAAGCCGCAGCAGTCCCTCCTGCTCCACCTCTCTACTGCTGCTCTCACGCCCTACTCAAAGCCTCACTCAGGCAGAGCATGAAGAAGTGCTTTTCAGAGACTGGTGTTCTGGTTTTTGTTATTTTTTGGGGTTTTTTTTAGTAAGTGTATCAGACAGCATGGTATATCTCTAGCTGACTCCAATTACTATCACAACAATATGGCTGTGGTTATTTAAAGCAGAATTTGAGAAGAAAAAGCAAATCCACTTGATACACTGAGCAGAACACAAGACAGAACTGAGCCAAGGCCTTCCAGTGCTGAAGGAACATGGAAGTCAGTGCCAGAGGACCAAATCCTGGGTTAGCCACATGAAGGTTTTGACCTTCAAATACAATGGGCTGCAGCCAGACTAAGTTATTGACATCACCAGAAACAGAGGAATCCCTGGAAAGGAAGGCAGAAAAGTCTTGTGGGCTATATAGTCTCTACAAGGTTTGCATGGCTGAGATGGGAGCTGGAATCTGTAGCAAGATCTGCTTTGGGGGTACAAAGGAGATGGGAAGACTTGCACTATTTCTTGTGCCTTTTGCCAAGATTCAGATAGCACAGATTATGGTAAAATTCACTTGGCAATAAAGGTCTTTATTAGAAAAAAAAATGAAGAAGAAAAAAGAAAAGAAAAAATTTCTAGTGAGTATCAGGACTGAGATTTCAAAAAGTACAAGATCTGTATAAATTCAGCAAGATGTCCAGCACCAGATTATTTCATGGTGCAACAAAGAACCTGGGGAGAGGCCAATGGGACCTGGTGAGGGGAACACCATCTACCTCCCCAGCAGACTGCCAGTCTTAGGTACTTCTCAACAGCAGATGGATTTTGCTTCTTCCTGCAGCATCTCAGGTCCCAGGGAGGTATTGGTTGCAAGCAAGCACCTGAATATTGCCTAATGGAGTAAGCCAATCACTAACTCAGCTGGCGTGTCCATGCCCATCCACTGATTAGGTGGGGCTTTTTTGGATGCATTTCCGCTGTAGCGTTTCTTTTCTCTTCTTTCTCCACTTTAAAGTGTAAGCAAAAGGACTGCTTTCATCAGTAATAAGTTAAAATCAGAAACGACCTAACTAACAAGTAACTGATATTGGTCCTTGGAGCCCAAAGAGTAAAATCCATAGAAAATCTATTGGTTCCATTTTTTCTGGTATATCCCATGCACACCCCCATTAGAAAAATGGGGTTTACGAATCTTATACAGCAAGGAGCAGTACCTCAGAGCCAGAGCTGACTGTCCGTGGTAGAGGTCTGGGCTCTTTCACATTGCTAAGTATGGTTCTAAGTCACTGCTCAATCCGTCTTCACGTGGCCATTGGCCAAGCCAACGGGTGCGGTGGGGGCCCCGGGCTCAGCAGTCTCATCGAATCGTAAGCGCAGGGTGTTTCTGATCACCAGCTGCTCCATGATGAAAGAAGCACAAAACCATGGGATGGCATACTCCAGGGTGATCAGGCCCATGAAGTCAAAATCAAACTGGGAATAGTCCCATGGGCAGGCATTGAACTGGCGTAGGATGAGGCCAGTGGTGAACTCCCAGAGGTATGTCCACAGTGTGTAAATGAAGCAGCGCACTAAAATGTTACACTTGTCTTTGAGATACAGATACATCTTCTCCACAATGAGGATGGAGGTGCCATAGATGAAGAGTGCCCACACACTGGTAACACCTGGGAACTTCCAGTTGAAATTGACCACAAATTCCCAGGCAGCTGTGAACATCACCTCACAGAAATAGCCGTGGATGGCGTACAGGTACCATCGTGAGAAAGCGGTCAGAGGTTCTGCCGCAGCCATTCTTCTGCACTCACCCCAGCAGCACTCTGAAAGGAAGAGGGAGAGAGAGCGAGAGAGAAGTCAGCGAGGATGTCACAAGTCCTTATCCCCCAGATGGCAACACACAAACTTGTAACAAAGGATAAATCTGAGAAAGAAGTGACTCTCATTTTCACCACAGCAGATTTTAGGTCCTGGGGAAAGGTGGCACCTTACAGGGCTCCATGACTCAGAATGGGCCTGAACAATACTGCTCTGCCTGAAAAACGGGACACCGCTGGTATTACATCGGAGATAAGGAGGGAGTTGATAAGTGCAAGGGCTTTGCCAGCAGCAAGGCTGCCAAAGAATTTACTGGTTTGCAAGTCAGCAGAAAAATATAGGAGCACATGTCACCTGTTTGGTCTTTTCAGGAAACAGCACTCTACCTTACTTTTGTGATTCTACTGTGGAACAGATTAGTTGAACACAGCATGGTAAAACTGGGCCTTTCCAGCTGTTGCCTACAGTCTCTATTTACTCTCAGTTTACTGTAGACTAAAACTGAGCTTTGATGGGAGCTACAGCAAGCAAATTGGAGGAGGAAATTCAGATTGTACACTTACAGACACCATACCTTGCACTCACTATTCAGCTGAACTTTTATTTTGCCTGTTGAAGAACTCATCCATTGTATGGCCAGCATTTGTAAAATAATTTTCTTATGGTGTCAAACTTCCTGATACCAAGTCAAAAAGCACAAGAGAGCCACTGGAATTCATTCAGATTTGGCTTCAGGACAGCAAAGCACAAAGGAGGAGAAAAAAAGGAACAGCTGAGCCTAGAGAGGGGTAGTTAGTCATGATAAATAGGAAATGAGAACAAACTCTAATTGTCTATACAGGAAGAAATTAGTGAAGAGTTTTTGAAAAGGCACAATTTGCTTATCACTAAGCTGTTTCAGCACAATTAGCTTTTACACTTTCTGTAGAGATTCACAAGTCTGCCATGCTACAGTCAATGACACGAGGTGATTATAAGCATAATTTTACTGAAGCCTTGCAGATTTACACCACAGGATGAATTTGACCTCTTTCATTCTTAGAAACTTGCTCTTTCAAGTTGAGTTTCTCTGGACTCTTTACAAGCACTATTTAACTTGCACGTGTCAGTTCTGTGGCACAATGTGCAAGGAAAGGACCACACTAACTTTATGTACAGTCATTCCATGCCATCTGGAAAGAGGCTGTGTCTGCCCTGCCCTGTAAACACAGTGCCTCTCTGATACAATTAACATGCAACTGACATTCTGATAGGAGATTAAGAGAAACTTCTATAAGGAAAAACAGAACTACAAAAATAAACATGAAGAAGATATGCACAGGGGAATATTGAAAGTGAAAAGGACAAAACTGTATCCATGGTCTGTTCACACTTCTCTTAACCAGACACACAAACAACCAAAGCCTTGACGGTTCATATGATTTGGGTGCTTGAACAAAGACCCATTTTCTAGTGGCAGAATCCATTTCACACAGGACACTGAACAATCATTACGTGCTACAGAGTAAGGTCAACGGCACATAGTGAGCTTGTAGGTGAAATAATAAAGAATCACTAGAGATTACCCCATGTCTCCTAAAAATTCAGTCCTAAGAAATCCTGCAAGACAGAAGAGGTGGCACACAAGAAATATGCAGGAGGTGTATGTCCATACAGTCCATAAGAAGCTGATGTATAAGGGCACTGCAAACCAAGGAGTTTGTCAGTGTAATGTTACTTCATTAGTTTGCCAACACAGTTGATAAGCTTAGTACTCTGAATCCTCATATCATTACTCCATTCTGACATAATTTCAAGAACAAGTCAAAAATCAGAGGTACAGAAGTAAGGGAAAACAGTAAGAAGGCATCATGATTTAAACCCAGCTAGCAACTAAGTGCCAGACAGACACTTGCTCACTGCTCTCCAGTGGGATGGAAAGAAGAATCAGGAGGGGAAAAAAAGTTAAAAAAAATGGGTTAAGATGAGTTTAATAATTGAAACAAAGTAAAATGTAATAATAATGCAATTAGCTCAGTTTGTTAGAGCATGATGCTAATAATGCCAAGGTTATGGGTTTGATCCCTGTATGGGCCATTCACTTAAGAGCTGGGCTTGATGATCCTTCTGGGTCCGTTCCACTTCAGAATACTCTGATACTTCTGTAATATGTAATGTTCTTATCAATAGAAGGAAATGATTGTAAAGATTTTAGTAAGTTGCCAAGGGATTGTATGGTTTTCCTCTCTTTTCTATAAGCCTAGCTTTTTCACTTGTGATCCTCAGTCCTTGCACTTCTCTCTACAGCTTTATATGAAATGTATTTGAACTGTTAGCTGGGAGCACCCTTGTAATTTTTCAAATCTATACACAAAGTTGGATCAAATGCACAGAGGGTCCTTCCCTCTCCCCCTCCATTTTCATTCCAAGAATCCCCTCACCAATTATTTCCATTGCCTTATACCTCCACACAAAACCAGAGACTTAGAGAAACATATCCAAGAAGCCACATCCTATTCTACCCCACACTATCTCCTCTGTGTAATGAAGATCCCTCTTTCCTGGTTCTATACCACAAACTTCATAAAAATCTATTTGCTTTCTGTTTCTTTTTTACTGTTTGCAAAATATTTAGTCACTACACTAGAAGTCTAATAACTGAATCTAGATCAGGTCTCAGACATCTACAATACAAGTTAACCCATTGCAAAGACCACTGTTGAGTTCTTTTGAATCACATGGCTTTCACCACAAGTGCAGAGATAAACATCAGTGCACTGGCACTGTCTCAATATTTGCCTTCTCTACTGTCGTGTCTCCAGTAGGCCCAGCCTCGATGGAAACTTCCTTCTTACAATATGCCTGCAAGAGTCCTCACAGAATTCTTGCTGATTGAGAAGCATCCCAAGACAGGGCAGATGCTAATCTCTGGTAGCCCAAACATAACTGGTTCCTAGTCACTAAGCAAATCTACAAATCACAGCTCCTCCTGTAAAATATTTCATCCAAAATAAAACAAAAAGTACATAGTAAGACATAAAGGGAACGGAGGATACATTTAGGGAGGCTATCACAAGCCACAGCACATCACTGCACAAGCTGGGGACTGTACAATTTAATGGTTACAAGTCACTTGAGCATATACAGAACAATTAAAACTGCAGCTTTTCCCAAGCATCTTATTTCCCAGGCACACAAAATTATTTGGTGTTTGGTAAGCAATATTGCACAAGGTCTCATGAGGGACATAAATGAGAAAACGCATTGTTTTATTGGGCAGCAATTTATGATAAAAGAATCAAGCTGAAAAGCATGACATTAGTGGAAGAAGCATCCAAACAGAAGGCCAAGACCGGATTCAGTAAGAAATGCAGATTTGTGAAAAGCCTTAAGTAGATAATTGAAATTGGTGGTGCAAAACTTTTAATGGAGTGACAGTAATACTGGACAAAAGGCTCTGAACATATGGGAGCTATTCAGTCTCCTCAGGAAAACAAGTGACATTCATCACTGAGGCACTTACAATGGGATGGGCAGCAGCTTCCTGAAAATCAGAAACACAGCTGCCAGCTATGCAATTGTCTCAGCAGAGAGCAAACAATGCACGGAGACTGCTCATGGATGACCATGCTTGCAGTGAGGCTGCTTGCACTGTGCTGTTTTGTGGAAAACAGGGAGCTTCTAAATTCAAAGTTTTGAAAATGCTTTCCATCATCAGCAAATTGTATTTCAAATAGTTAAAACAGAAATAGTTCCTCTAATACAAAATTATTAGGAAGCCTGAGCTAGGCCAGGCTTCCTAATTTTTCCTTCTTCTCTAGTAGGACCTTCTTTTCCAGCTTGCTGAGAAAAAAAACCAAGGCAAGTCTGTGGAAACCACACAGGGACCTCCAAAGAACACTCAGCTCTTTCCCTGACTGCCCTGCCTGTGTGCATAACTCTGCTGGCAACAAAGGGGCCAAGAGCCCACTGCACCTAGAGGAAACAAGCACAGATCTAACAGGGAAAGTATATGAAGGACAGAATTTCTCTACAGAAATCTGGTTGCAGCAACAGGTTCACTGAGGGCACAAAGCTGGGAGGAGTGGCCAATACCCCCCTAGTGCTGTGCGCCCTTTAGGAGGATCTCAACAGGTTGGAGAGATGGGCAGAGAAGAATTGCCCATCTTGTGATACAAGACAAATGCAGGGTCCTGCACCTGAGTAAGAGTAACTCCATGCAAGGAGGCAGTGGCCAGAAATTGATGGAGGAAGTTCCACCTGAATATGAGGAAGAATTTTTTTACCCCGTGGGTGATCAAGCATTGGACAGATTTCCCAGAGGTTGTGGAGTCTCGCTCCCAGGAGATATTCAAGAACTGTCTGGATGCAATGCTGTGCCATGTACTCTAGGATGACCCTGCTTGAGCAGGGAGTTTAGACCAGATGACCCACTGTGGTCCCTCCCAACCTGACCCATTCTGTGATCAGGGCAGGACTTTGACTTATGCCTGCAAGAAAGCACCAAGACTATAGATATTTGATAGCACTTTGATATTTTATAATTTCAGCTCTGAAATTGATATTAATAATCCCCTAGGTTGATGTAAGATACAGGTAAAACTGATGCACCAGGCCAAGTAAGGAGAAAGGACTTACAGCCTGCCCCACTTCATGTAAGACCCCTCTTGCAAGAGGAGCACTCCACACCCACATTCACTTCTGCAGATGATGCAGCCTTGGCAGGCAAGAGGGAAGTGATCAGAAGATGGACTGATTGTAGACCAAGAAATAATGGTAGATTTGTCTCACACAAGCACTGCAGGGGAGATCTCAGTGGATGTTGTATTCATGCCTGATTAAGCTCCTGAGCACTGACTGGCTCATTTTTTTTTTTTTCTAAGCTCTCCTTTGCAGTGGCTTTCAGCCCATTTCCCCACTACCAAGCCAAACTGTGCTTTAAAAAAAATCTCATACAGGTTGTCTTTATTCCCTTTAATCCAGGAGAATTATTTAGATGCTCTGGATGAGTTTAATGAGACCTCCT